TATGTCCTCCTATTCCACCTCCCATGACTGCTTCCTCACCCAGACCATAAGCCTGAGAAGTCTAGGGCTTTCTTCCAGCTCCCCGAGGCCCATCCAGGTGATTAGCACAGTGATGGACACATCAGGCAGTTGCACGGACATCTGCTGAGTGACCAAACTTACCACTTGATCCACTTTCTGATTATCAGCTGGTGATAGCAGCCATTCAATGTCCAGCGGTCCCTGGTCTTCAGTACTAAGTGTAAATTTGCACGGCAGATAGGCCGTTTCCCCTTTGGCTTTTTCAATCATCTGTTCTGGAGTAGTGATGCTCAAACTTCTGGCGAAATCTGGAGGAAGAAACGTGCATGAGACTAAGCATCTGCTTTTATGCTGGCAGCCTTCTCGGTGCCCCACAGCCCTTCGGGAGGAGCAGAGGGATGCAGAGTCACGGGGTGGGGTCTGGGTCCACAGGAATGGAATCCAAACTCAGCGACACCCAGGTTTTAGTTGGTGCCTTTGTAAAAATGGTATGACACTTCCTTGATACAATCCCCTTTAAAAGCACTGTGCACTTCCAACATAATATAAAATGTAAGTTTCTTCTAGCAGAGAGTTTCTAGCCTTTTTTGTCCCCTTCCTTCTGCTCTCCCTTTGCTGTGACAATGGGTCCAGTCCTCATCTGTGGTGTAAGTACCATGCTCTGTAAACCTTTATCTTGTTCTTGCTCTATAATCCTATCATTCTCTCCTCAATAAACCTCATTGTCATGCTTGCTAAAAAAAAAAAAAAAAAAGTTTCTATATCCAGATGTTTAAAACTGAATTTAGCTAAAATCTCTGAAAAGTCATTCATGTCCTACAAGTTGAAGGCTACACTAATTTACATTCGTCACAGTGCCACAAACACACCAAGAACTCATTGCTGGTACAGCGCATAGTGATAAATTTTAACACATTTTCTGCCAACACTTAATACTACATTTTTATTAAATTTGATTCTATAACTTCTACTGAATGCTCAAAAATATTTCTAAGCAGTAAGTTTTGATGAGAACAATTCAAAAAGAAAGAAAACACCATCAATTTAGAATGCTTGAAAAATTTACCAAATAGCTGACCTCGAAATTATCTCTAAGATATTTCTTGGCTAGGCATGGTGGCTCACGCCTGTAATCCCAGCACTTTGGGAGGCTGAGGCAGGAGGATCACTTGAGGCAAGGAGTTTGAGACCAGCCTGGGCAACATACTGAGAGCTGTCTCAGGAAAAAAAAAAAAAAAGACATTTCTTACTGTTCATGCCTTCCTACTTCCTTTCTGAAAAAGTCACCAAAAATATTTATTTTATTACTTCTAAAAAGACATCTTAAAATCCTATATTCTGAAATTTGTATTCTATAAAACTTCCATTTAGATCACAATTTAAAAGGCAACGCTAGATGGTAATATTTAAAAAATACATAAAATAAGATATCCTGAGCTCCAAACAAAACTTCACACATTCTTCCAGTTGAATTTGTTAAAAAGGTATGGCTTAAGGCTGGTCCTAGTGCAGTGGTGTTCACACCTAATCGATCACAGCCACTTACAGATTTCTTTGTTCCTTCTCCATTCCTACTGCTTCACTTGATCAGCCTTCAGAAAAAAAAAAGCAGGATTTAAAAATGTTAAAAAAATAAAATAAAAAAGACATTGGTTCTGGTGCAGCAGCTCATGCCTGTAATCCTATCGCTCTGGGAGGCCAAGGCAGGAGGATTGCTTGAGGCCAGGAGTTTGAGACCAGTCTGAACAAGAACCCTGTCTCTACAAAAAATAGAAAAATTAGCTGGACGTAGCTGGACGTAGTGGCATGTGCTTACAGTCCCAGCTACTTGGGAGGCTGAGGCAGGAGGATTGCTTGAGCCCAGGCATTTGAGGTTGCTGTGAGCTATGATGATGCCACTGCACTCTAGCTCAGGTGACAGAGCAAGACTCTGTCTCAAAATAAATAGATAGACAGACAGACAGACAGACTAGCACTCTGGGAGGCTGAGGCAGGAGGATTGCTTGAACTCAGGAGTTCAAGACCAGCCTGAGCAAGAGCAAGACCCCATCTCTAGTAAAAATAGAAAAAATTAGCTAGGAGCAGTGGCACAGGCCTGTAGTCCCAGCTACGCAGGAGGCTGAAGCAAGAGGATTGCTTGAGCCCAGGAGTTTGAGGTTGCTGTAAAGTAGGCTGACGCCATGGCACTCTAGCCTGGGCAACAGAGCGAGACTCTGTCTCAAAAAAAACCCAAGAAACAAACAAAAAACCTAATTTTTTAAAACAATTCACACTATAAAAGTCTGCACAGCACTACTTTGTCACATCTATGGTTTATTTGTGATAACCCAATATTTTCTTAAATATTAACTCAAACATCTAATGTGTGCATATCCGTAAGTTTCATCATTTTCTGTTTAAGAAGTAGCTCTACCATTTGGACCTATATCACCTGACACTGACATTTGGGGCTGGATAATGACCTGGAAGAGGCCCAAAGCACTAAGATTGTGGTATGCTATGTGGGACCTGCCTCTCTCTTCCTCTCCCTTCCTTCTGCTCCCACCATAAAAATAAGCACATGAGAACAAAATTAAGAGTAAATCAATCCAAAGCCATACTTCTCCACAATGACTATTTTGATGTTTAAATGCAGTTATGTTATTAGCCATAGCATATTCTTTCCATTAGCCCCCAAATAAGCTTAATACACACAGATTATCAGTTGTAATAAACTGTTAATAAAGCTGAAACCAACAGATTGAGAACTAAAGAAAAGCCAGGTTAAACTAAAGACCATTTACATTCAGGCATCATCCTAAGCTTTTAATCACATTTAAGTGTACTCCTCTAACAGATTTAAAATGGATAAATTCTCTGCACTTCTCTTAACTCTGAGGCTGGCCTTGTTTTGACCAATAAAACATGGTAGGGGTGAGCGGTATAAGTTCCAAGGCTAAACCTCATGAGCCCTGGCTGCACCCACTCTTGTCTCCTCGGATGCCTGCCACTTTGTGAACAAACCAGAGGGCAAGTGAGGTGTCTGACCAACATCTGACCGACAGCTTCAACTACCCAACATACAGGCGCCCTAGACAATCAGCCCAGGTCCGGATCAGCTGCCTGTAGCCTCACTGGTGAGCCTAGAACTTCCCATCTCAGCCCAGCCTAAACTGGCAACCCACAGGATTGTGAATGATTTTTGTTTTAAGCCTCTGAAGTTTGGGTTGGTTTATTACACAGCAAAGACTGCTAACACATCACCCAAACCCACTGATTCAGCCCAAAAGTCCAATTACTACGGTCTCCATTTCATGTCCACATTTCTAGTGAAACTTATGTGATTTGGTATTTGTGCATAATCAAATGTTTCTCCCGAATAACACTTTCTATTGTTTCCAATAAATTCAGATCCTTTCCCCCTTCATTCACTAAGGCATTCTTCTACCTCTCCACCTACAATGGTTTTTCTTGCATTCTTGCTATGAATGCTCACAGCACTTCACTGTCTACCATTTGTATCACCCCATTTGGCACTTACCATATGCTGCCTTGGATTTTTTTTTTTTCTTTATAAATTTTATGGTGAAGCTAAGGTAGCATCCAGGGTTTTGTCACATCTCCTAGATGCTGAAGAACCTATCTTCTTCCCATAGTACCTCGTATTTTTAGGACCTTTTAAAATGCATGTCTTGATTTATCATTATGTGATTAGCTCCATTAGGGTTGGGAGACATTGTGGATACCCTCTTATCTCCTGCTGTAGTTCCTTGCACACAGAAAAGAACTTGTGATTGGATTATAAATTTGACCAATTTGAGAAATGTTGAAAAAATGCATTAATCTGCCAGAAGAAATTCCTGGTAATTCAAGTGTTCCTTTCTATAGCTACTACACTTTGTTGCCTGCATTTAATTTGTCTGGTTATTAATACTTTACATATCAAGATAAAAAATAATCTAAGTATACTACAGAATGAAAATTCCATTTCAAAATGAATTAAGAAATAGCCCCAAAAATGGAGCTATGAATATATAAATAAGAATTGAAAAATTGCTATAATTAAAACTTCCTGATTACTGTGTGCTTTTAGAGTTTTCATTTTGTAGAAATCAAATAAAAAAGTTAAATGACCTCAATTAGACATCTAAATGTATAAAATTTCAAACCCTCCTAATTCATGTTCTCAGTACTTATACTACACAAAGTAATCGATAAAATGTAACTTAGTTTTCACGATATTATCTTTCATTCTTTCATGTTTGATACATAAAGATTACTTTTATTTTAAAAGTTTGCCTTTAAAAAAGAGTCATATATGTGTATCAAAATGATCTGGAAACATACATGCCAAACTGTCAACAGCAATTATTTTTGTGAACTGAGATTTTTAAGAAAGACGATTGCCCATTTCTGCTTTATTGATCTTCTTATGTGTATACTGCTTAAGAAATTTTAAACAGATTTGTAAATGGCTTTCAGTATTTCTTTTCCAAAAAATGGTTAAAACATTCGATTGTTCTTCATTATGTTGCACTAGAAATCAATTGAAATCTCCAGATCCTGCAAAACAGTTATGGTGTTTCCTAGCAACAGTGAAGGGCCTCTTTTCATAGAGGCATATTTTTTCAAGTGCTGAAGTATGCAATAGTCACAAATTGTGTAAGACAAAAGGCAGACACTTGGTCTCATGCAGTGTCCCTAGGATTCTTTCCTAATACTACCCAATTTTATTTATGCAGCAAATAGAGTAATAATTTAACTTGCAAACCACTTGTAGGTTTGAATATGGTTTGAAAAGTAAATCAAATATTCTCATAATTTTATTCAAACATATTCAGAGTATGATAAAATATGCAGCACATTACCAAGCTACAAGTATTTGCAGAGTTCAGTTAATAAGTGCACAGCACTGGATTGTATAAACAAACTGAATCACATCTCATATTGGCAGTAACTCAAATAACATCTCCCAGTTTTCTGCTTGCTTTTTTATCTCCAATTTCCAAGTCACTTGGATCTTTAGATCTTCTCTTCTGCCCAGTCTGAGCATCAAAGTGACATGAGTTCATCAAAGAGTATTTTTTAGCCCTTGATGTCACCTCCTACTAAGGCTTTAGAAGATCTGTTTCTACCCTAAGAATGGAACATTACTGGAGGTAACAGAAGGAGCTATTCCTCTAGAAGGGAAGCAGTGCTTTGAACTGATGACATGCCTTGATTTCCTTAATTTGCTTTTTCAAGTTTAAGCAATTTGTTAACCTGGATGGTCTTCAATGATCTTTTCCTTCTGGCAATCTTAAAATCGTAGGATGTTAGAAAGTGCTCA